AAAAGCAGAGTTTAAAATTATTCTCCTTGTATTTTACCTTCACTAGGTCAAAGTTTACGGTGAATTACAACTTGCATGGATTTTTCATTTTGCTCAGTGTCAAAGATTTATGCTAAACCAGATACTGGGGAGCACCTTTGCCATCTGCTGAAACTCCATTCAAAACAAAGCGATGGTGTATACAGACCTTTCCTCTTGGACTACTTTTCTATTAATCTGCAACATCTAGATTAAATAACATTCATTGAAAAGCACAGACATTCATACGTAAGGATATATCCTTATATCCTCTGACCTTTGGGGGGCATAAAAGATGCACAAAACTACAGGATAAACAGAACTTTCCTAGGCTAATATGCTTCACTACTGAAAAAAGTGAATGGTCAGCAGTTGGCAAGTTCCTGTTATATTAGGAGAGTCATACAGTAATAAGGAAACCTTGGCCCCTGCAACCCCAATTTAATGTTCTTCACAAAGGGTTAGAAGTTACTCTAGGTTTGTTTACAGCTTAAATGCCTAAACAGGGAATGCCCTTGCATCTGCAGAGTATACCAAAACAAGCTCAGTAGTGAAACTAGGTCTCAAATTTGATTTGCATAAAGAACATTTTTACATTGGTAGCACATACAGCTAGTCAAAATTTGAAACTACTGCATCTCAACACCCTGTATGGGGAAAATGGGCAGCATGATGGAGCAGTGGTTAGCACAGTCTCAGTGCTGAGGCCCTGGGTTCAAGAGGTTAGAAAATGGATGGATACATAGAAAGCAAATGTTAACAAAGGGCTGAAAATCCCCCTTGCGTTTGTAACTATTTATGCGCTTTGTATTTGAGGCCTTCCATTTCCTTTATTTTCATTTATCTCTGAATGAAAAAAATGTAAACGAGTCCACACCCATCAGTCCAGAAGATGGGAGCTGCTCAACTGTCTTCATTGCTAATATTATACATTTAGAAATGTTTTTCCCCATAAACTCACTGGAATTCCAAGGGTGTGGTATTTGTTTTAAAATGGATCAGAGCTCCAAAAATAGTTACCTTTAAATAAAGTATAGTGAAATGTATTAAAAGTTGGAACCAGAGAAATTTAAAAGCACAAGGAATGCACTGGGTCATACTTTGTGCACTGGCCATCTTGTTACCTCTTTTGAATCTTCAATATCCATGCCATTCAGAATGTCTTTAGCCTATGACCTCCGACATAGTGAATCCCAGACAAGAATATACCATCCACAAAACCTGATTCTCCCAGAGTGCTGACAGACGATCTGATAATTACACACCGCTAGTGTTGAGTAGGAAACCCTTTACTGCAGCTGCTCTGCAATCAGAGACATACAACCTTTTTTAATGCGTGCCAGGAAGCCATTAGTTTCCAGCTTTGGAACAGTGCACCAGACTGCTGGTATGCACAGTACCTGCACATGTTTTGTAATTCAGGTGCTCCTCTCAGCTGGATTTATCCAGATATAATGAGCAAGACCCCAAGGAGTTCATCTTATTACTGACTCAATTCACCAGCATCTGCACCTACAGTATCTCTAGAATCGGAAAGATTCTAGTTAATGAACATTAACTGCTGCAGAGCAGGGCACCAGGAAGATGGCAATAACCAATGTGTTCCAAACATGGACGGATGCAAAGCAATAATAGCTTTTCTTATCTTGTTCAGGATAATGCGGCAAAGATTTTAGAGAACACATCAAGTATAGATTGCACTTGCTATCCTACTTCTCATGACTTGCAGAATCTCTCCAACTCCACAGGAAGTGACCCCATAGTGTTGTAGTCATAGGTCTGTTTGCTTTTCACATTGCTCTAGAAACCCCTCATTTGACTGTGCCGTCAATGCTGAAAAAGTGAATTAAATTCTATCTACACCATCTTATACTTGCCATTTCTCCAACACCTCCAAAACAGGCATTGTAAATACAGATCAGCAATGGAAGCAAAAGCATCTTCCTGAGGTTTACAGTACTAAATAGCACATACCAGCAAGAAGTACCATTAGGGACTGTAGCCAATGAAAGAGGCTCTGAGCTTCACAAATGAGTTAAAAGAAATTGAAAAGCATCTATAGCCTTGTGGGGGCAAACATGGGCACAAGTGGGCAGCATTAAAATGACTTGTGAATTTGGTGAATAATTGATGTATATTAGTACAAATGTCAGAGGGATATATGCTAATGGAATTAAAGGAGTAATGCTATTAATGTAGTTTCCCCCACCCCCTGTTTTCATGTAATATTTTGAAGCAGAAAGTGATACAGGGACACATACTGGACATCTAAAGATGAAATTCATATTTTCTAAAGCTATTCCAGAAAGAGAATGTGAATATATTTCTTTCAGCAAGATGTGGAATTTACAGGGGCAAGGAACCACGAAGGGGAAGAACACTTTCACAATTTTAGTTGTGTACATTTCTGACAACTTGAAGGTCTGCATTGTCTATAGTACTGTTTTTGTGGATTACCTTTTGTTACCCATATTTTATACATTTACAGCATAAAGTGCCTTTCATTCACAAGGCCCAAAGCACTTAATAGCAAGATAAGAGACAGTACAGCAAGGAAAGTAAAACATGTAAAGACAATCAAGAGAAGTAAAAAAAGATTAAAGATTTAAAATGTATACAATGAAGCGGTGTTCATTTAAGCGGTCATTTAATGCATACAGCGCTGCCTTGAAGGACAGAGCTGTGACAGGGAAAGAATAAGGAAGTCATTATATTAAATACGAGTTTAATTTTGACTATCTCAGCATGACAATTTAGATGGTTCATCACTTTGCAAAACCATTAAAGCTGCTGAGAAAAAGTTAACTGAAATCTGAGATTACAAACAGCAAGTTTAATGTGAGCAGCAGTTTCACACAAGGAACACATGCAGTTGTGGTGAAGGTCTGCAAGCTGAAAGAAAAGCCTTTGCCCACTAACCAAAAGCACTTTTTCAGCATACTAGTCTGCGGATTTCCGGGGATGTAATCCAAAGCAGTTAATCATTTAATTTAGGTGAAGTTCATTTTCCTCCTTCTTAGCCATACATTAAGGACCTGTTCCAGCCTGTGTAACAGAACCATCAGAAATCACTGCACTGAAAGCCCTGAGGTGCAAGACAAAGCAAACACTTCTTGGTTTCTTGTTCAGCTTATTTTTAAAATACTTCTGCAATTATTAGTCTTATTTAACCATACTAATGGTAATTCTAGCATAATAGTTACAAAACAGAACTGCAGAATTACAATATCACCCAGATCTCATTTTGCCCCCATTTCCATACTTCCAACTTAAATGGCTTCTGTTTCATAATATAAATACCCATTATTTAATTTGGGGGAGAATATTTATAATGTTACAATGTTTAAAGTTAATTGTGCTTTTGATAAATGAACTTGAGAAATTCTATTAAAAATACATTGCAATGCTATGCTTGTATTGCACACAGTACATTACCATTGTTTAGCCTACTGCATACAGATTGGACTGTGCACATACACTACATGTAAGTGCAGTATAGATGCACTTCAAGATATAATCAGAAATCCCAAAACCCCTTACCGCTCATCAGCTATTATACACAGTACATAATCACCAATATTGCACATTTAGTATTGGCTATGCTTCTGAATGCTACCCACTGAACTCAATTGAGGACTGCACACATGTGTAACCCCTGATGCAAGTTCATCTGTGGTGAATTCCCCCCCCCCCCAAATACATTAATGTAATGTGGATCATTATATAGCTTACGGTCAGAAGCAAAGACTCAAGATGTCCAAGATGCATTAATGTGAAACTTAATTTCTCCTTCTGAAAATTTAGTTAAATGAGTGATTTCTCTGTACATTGCAGTTTGAAAAGAAACCTGCAATTAATGTGATCTCCTGTAAAGAACTGTTGAGAGTTCAGATTTTAACAGACGTAAGCAAAGACAAGCAAAGCAAGAGATAAAAAACAGACAACAGGAAAATGGCAGTGAACTCTTGTTCGTGAAAATGCCAGCTTTGGAACAAGAACTAAGATAAGGATACTTCTTAAAGGCCACTAAAATGTCAATTCATAGTGTGGTGTTCTTTTCAGCTGAAGACAAGTACTGGGTAACTGCTTCTTAAATTAAAACGATTTGTAAGTATATACATTTTTAATCAAATGATTTTTTGCACGAGATCACATAGTGGAGTGATGATTAATGCTGCCACCTCATTGCTCTTCAGTTCTTAAATTAAATTCTGGACTGTGGTATTTTTTTCTTGCATTTGCCCAGTGCCATTCCAATAATAAATCAATGTAAACATTTCATACAGTTTGTGTACATCTATTTTAATGTTAAAACTGTATTAAAAAGCTATTCATTCACATTGGGTCTTGGAAAACTGGCTGCTCAGAAGTTGGGCATAAACATTTCAGGATAATTAATGCTTTTATTAAAGAAATCATTTCTTATTCTCCATGCATGCCACTACCTCACTACTTTGATCGAGATCACTTTGCAATTTTATACTTCTATTGTGTACATTTCATGACTACAAGGGTAATATCTTCAGCCAAGGTTGATATATCCTTGAGGAAACCGTATTGGATCCAATTGTGCTCAGTGTAACACTGAGCTGCAAGAGATGTCTCTTCCCCATGAGGAAAAGCAACAGATCCGCACAGCAAATGATGGGTGAAGGCAATGAGTCAGAAGTAGGATGGACAGAGGCTTCAGTTTGGGCTAAACAGCTGCTACAGAAGTGTTCTGATTAATGAAGCCAAGGATGAAGCATTGTGGCAGCACATGCTTGAAGATACCCTATGTAAAGTATTGGAAGCCATTTTAAAAGTCAAGTAACAAATGAGCTATTGTTCTTGCATTGACACCATTATCAACAAGTGACAACAGCATCAACTTATTGCCAATGGGTTTGTTCACAGTTTTAAATGGAATAGCCTCACTAGCACAGCAAATATCAACCCATGGTTCACTACTGCCATTTCATTAGATGTATGAAGGCATTTCATTAGATGTAGAAGGCATGATATCGGATGCAAATTTAGCTTGATAGATTTTTAACCTACAGTACATCAGCCACCTAGTAAAGAATACAATAGATTCAATTTACTATTTCAGCTTTCCAGACCACTTAGAACATGTTAAGTCACACATTCTAAAGAGAAACAACAGCAGTAATTTCCACTTGTAAATAATTCGTATGACGGGCAGACTTAATGAAGAGGTGACCCCCTTTTGGGCAAAGATAGAGATTACTCCTGGAGGGGTGAGGTCAAAGTTTCTGTTCCTGGGAGGAGGGGATTTCCATTTGATTGTTACCCGTCATGCGATTACCTGATAAAAGAGATTAACAACCTTCATTTCATGAGACCATGCTTTAATTTTGGTCCCCCTTGCACATTGTTTATGCGTCAGGTTGAGCAGTAAAGCCTGGTAGACAAAATTACTGCAGTTTAACTGGAGTGACACTTCAATTTACTGCAAGTTAGAGATTACTTTGTATTACTGCTTGAGCAAGAGTCATTAACAATAAGTACTTCAATAAATCAGCTGCCCACTAAATTTTATCAGAAACCATAAGTTTGTTTGATAATTAGTAGTTAAATGTTTCTTAAGAGTACCAGATTCAGAAACATAATTTGTATCTTTTCTCCCAAAAACCTTTTGGGTAAAGGAGAAGGTCCTGTTCTTTGTTTTAAATGCACTTCCAGTTTTTACTTGAGCCCTGTGCTTTGCATTTCATAGATCATTGTGGAGAAATTGACTAAGTTGACTGTCAAAGCCTTTGAAGATCTGAGGAAATCCTCCTCAACCATTTCCAGGAAGCAGGAATTCATTACCGGCTTGCCATTTAAAAAAAGAGCAGAATTGTTCCCAAACATGAAAGCCAAGACTACTGAGAGATTCCTAGCAATTCTATAAGCCGCTTCAGTTACAAATATTCAAAGAAAAATCACATTTATACTTTTATGCAACCTGTGAACATGGCAAAAAAAGGCATTTTTACCGTGAGAATAAAAGCCATTCATCATAACTGTCTCCATCGCTGGTTCTCAAGGGCTGCAGTCCAGGGCTCTAGGTCTCCTTAAATCACCAACACTCTGGAAAAGAAACTTAATCAGTCTAGGCTTAACTGAGCTTCAATAACCCCTATTCACATCCTAATTTATGATAGCTAAAACTTTACTTCATGTTTAAGTGCACAACAAAATTCACAGGACTGGGATTTGGATTGTTTTATAGAGATGGTCAAGTGTTCCAGTTACATGTTCACATTACAAGTACGCCATTTGACTGCATGTTAAGTGTCAAATTCAGATAATTGCAGGATACTGTTTGGGCAAATTAATGATTTTATGAGCATTTTGTTTAATACTAGGGAGTCACAGAATTGCCCACTCAAGGGCCTGCTGCAGACCATTACCTATGTATAAGTGTACATTTTCAATAATTACACTTCTTGTGGTATGAAAATTGAAACGTGGAAGGTTAAGACAAAACTAATAATGAGCATTAGTTTCATAGAAGTTTATCCAACTGTAGAAGCAGCAGATAGGCTTAAACCAAGGCAGCCAGTGGTGGCTTTCACATGCTAGATAGCTCCAGTGCTCCTAGGAAGACCCATGTGGTGACTCAATATTGCTACATTGACATCTGAAAAAGAGGCTAACCAGCTCCAAGACTTCTGGGCAACTCCAATCAAGGGGGGGAGGCATTGTCATGTCTGTGCATTTATTTCATATCCATTTACATTTGTTGCAGAACACTGGCTTCTTGGTTTTAGTTAAATTGTCAAGGGGGATTTGGTTTATTCACCACAAGCTTAAGATGGTTAGGCACCTTCCTCCATGCAAATCGCCAGTGACCTCTACACCAGTTTTATCATTCTCACAAACTGCACTAAGTTTCAATCCAGCTGTTGCCACACCTAACTACAAGCAGCATTCCTACAATTACATTTGTAGGATGACTAACTGCTGTATCTTTGACAATGTTAAATCTCTTATGAATGCAGACATTAGGGTACAAATTCTTGTCCTGGATAAAATAAGAGCTGAAGCTTACTTTGAATGGTGAACTTATGGAACAACCTTTTCAAGGCTAACTTACATAACTCAAAGTCCACTGTACTCTTAAAAAAAAAAACTACAGCATAAAGTACATTACTTTGAATAAAACATATGAGAAACAAAGCATAAACCCTTAACTAAACTTGATAACCTGAGGAAACAAAACAATCTCATCCAAAATTATTTGAAAACTTTTTCCAAGTTGATATAAAATTGTAAAGAGGGTTTTTAATTTTTAAAGAAATCAACATGAAATATGCCCTTTTATCATGGCATTAATTAACACCATGATAGAGTAAAATCTCATTGTCATCTTCTGCATTGAATTATTCAATATTTCAACTTGCCATTGTTTTATTCATTATAATTATGCCTTCTGACATTGTTGCGGTCACATGCCTTTTCACAAAGGCATCACAAAAACCCACATTTCTAGACTTTTTCCAAGTCCATTTTGGAATCATTCAGATTACCCACCAATAACCAGTCAGGATTAAGATGTCCCCTATTTTTTACATTATCATTTTTGATTAGACACTATGATGGACCAGTGTCTTGTCCAAGCAGCAGCCTGCCTTGGACCCACTGGATCTCCCACAACATTGAATTGAATGAAGTGGTCAGTGAGCAGATGGGATGGATTGATTATACACACACAAGAATCTTTTCTTAATGAACCTTCAATTTTAAGACTACTGGAAGAATCTTCAGATGGTCATTGTAATTACAGCATAAATTCAGTTAGCTGGTGTTATTTACAGTAATGTACAGGGGCTATAACAAAACTTTGTTCTGGAGAATGGATGTCACAATAAGTTTCATTCGTATAAATTTGTCAAGTGCATTTTGTCCCCCAGAAAAGTAAATTAAAACCTTCAGAAGTGAATACCCACCCCAGGGACTCTCTTCATGAAAAGTTCCTATTTCCCCATTTTAAGTTCTATCCTTCCAAGGACTGACATCTCACTTGAGGCTAAGATTACACACTTAAGCCTGTTACCACCCATGGGGTGAATGATTCCTCTAGGAAGAGATTTATACAATGTCTAAGCAATATGCTCCAGGCACCTGCATCAGCTAGCTGCAGCTCGCATGCATTATGTGAAACAGAGCCACAAACAGTGCGATTTTAAAACAGCCAACTTTTGGAGGCCAGAGATCTCACTTACCTTTAAATTTAAGGACATCCCTTAAAAACTTTGCTTTTTTTGAAAAACTGCAATGCTTAATATTCTTTACTTTTACAAATGTAGGATTTTCCTGCTTTTCTCCTTTTACTTTACTTGCATATGTTAAAATGTAAATGTCCCATTCAAATATGCTGTTGTAAGCAACTTTTATAATCCCCCCCCCCAAAAAAAAAAATCTACAACTTTCCTGCCCCCCACGAACACTGGTTAAATCTTAATCTTTAAAAAAAAAAGCTAAGATCACCCTTAAGTAAACTAATTTTCACAAATGTCTCTGATCAAGACTAAGGCTTCCTAACATTCTCTATTAAAACCATTTAAATGCAGCCTCGCCATTCCTAACATTTAGGTTTTTCCAGTAACTTAAATTCCAAGGTAAAGTTTAGAATTCATTTTTGGTTGCCTGAAACCAACAAGGACTTAATCAAAATGAGTAAATCATTTCCACTAAAACTGTGGAATGAATCAATTTTTGCCATCTATCCCCTAGAGAGATTTGACTCACTGCTGCATTGTCCCCACGAAAACATTCGTCATTCTAGAGGCATTTAACCCATTTAAAGCCCAATAATAAACATCACAGTAAATTATATATAGAACAAGTTAGTGCTAGTTGCAATAAATGACACCTTCAATTTTTCCATTTAATTACAGCTTGAACTTGAAACGTTAATAAATGCATTTTGCTAAGCTTTTTAATGCATATATCTACAGTATTTAAAATCAGACTGCTTATTGAACTCTGCAGAACCACAATATGGTAAGGAAGAAAATTAGCATGGGACAAAAATAAGCAAATGAATTAAAATGGCAATCATTTACTCAATTTCATGCCCCCTCTGGGTAAATGGCATTAATGTAGAACCACCAGCAGCACTTTTTTTTTATTCAGCATGTAAAAAAAAAACCTTGGTACCAACAGTACCAATAACGTATACTGTAGGCATATTACACTGTTGTATAAACATTTAAGCCAAGCCCTGTGGATACTTGACAAAGGCAAAAATTTGCTTAACCCAGGTCCCCTCTTTGAATTGAGGACAAATGCAACAGGAAAAGCTAAATGAAAATCACCCCTGCACTCCTCAGATAAGTACCACAAATGGTAGGACTGACAAATGAGTTAATGCTACCTCCCCTGAAATCAAGAGGAAATTAAACAAAGCCTTAGGAGGGGACATGCTGGTATCCAAAACGATACTGTATGAGTATTAGTGCAGCATTCATCATTTAAACAGTGAGTTTCCAATTAGCTTCTCTAACCATTTTAGGCAACTACTGTATGCTTTTCACTTGTGTAGCACTAAAAAACAAATATGCCACTCCATACTTCCACCAGCAGCTTTTGATAAGCTGTCCCTGTACAATGGAGAAATTCTTGACTCCCAGTGGAAAAGTTGCTATACTGTACATGCCAAGTTGATAATTTATTGTGCAGAATACAAAGAATAAGTTGTTTGTGTCCATTAGCAAATTTAAAAAGCATACATTTCCCCATGGTAAAACTAAATAAAAATACAGAATTGAAAGTCATGGCTGTGGTGCAGAATTAATAATTGAGGAGAAATATTAAAGGCCTGCCATAGAATAATAAATCCCCTTTCAGCCTTCTTTAGAAAGGCACCAACTAAACTGTTTAATGGTAGTTTTATCTCTGCAATAAAGGACAGACTATGAACCAGTTTAGTGTCATGTGCCTATGAGTGATCCTCTAAATGTCACTCTTCTTCATGAAATTGATCAAGCCTGATTACAGAACATCACAAGCTTCTTAAAGCTGAAATTAATTACAATTAGAGGATGCTGTGTGACCACTGACTGGCTTGCTGTGCAGTCCCGTCAATTTATCTCCCCCTGTTGAAAATGCCTGAAGTTAAGATGAGTTGAGTGAGAAGATGAGTTTTTCTGCCTTTGAACATGCTCTTTGTAGCTTAACCCCCACCACCAAACCAATTTATTACGTACTGTCTCAAAGAGAAAGCTGTTCCCAACACATAAAATGCCATTTCACTTTAAAAGTTTTCAACTTTGTACTGTAAGCACATAAATGACATAAGTGGAGATGTAGACAATTTAAAAAAGTAATTGTTTGCTTAAACAAGCAGCTTTTTAAATGACAATTGTTCATTATCTCTGCATTCACAAGTAACAGAACAGGCAGCAGAGGTAGTGCAGTGGTTAGAACTGGGTTTAATGCATCAAGCCTAGTGCATCCACACTTTTGTTCAATTTACTTAGATAAGCTAATTCAGAAAAAAAAACTCATGTGCAGTGAGGACTTAAAAGGGCTTACACCACTGTAGCATAAACATCAACAAACAAAACAATTACATTTAAATTCCATAAATATAACCTAGCAGAAGCAGAGTAATATTAATTGAAAGCTTCAAAAATTTAACCACATAACTGGGTGCATACTAGTTTAAGATGGGTAGCTTCATAGACTCAGGTCATTAGCAAAAGTAAATGGAAATAATTCATGCCCTAAAATAGTAACTAATAGTAATTTTATAACACTGCAAATCTCACTCATTGTAAACTGTCAAAGAACCGCGGTAAATTAAGACAATGGCATCAGCCCAAATGAAGATGTAGACAGGCTGATTGCCTTCTTATGACTTGGCGAGTTGTAGATCCTAATATGGGCCATGTTATTTAGTTTCCAGGGTGAACGTTTCCATGGTCTACAGCTTGGAAACAATTGTCTATTGACAGCTTACAGTACATGGATTAGTAATCATTTCTGAGGGAAAAATCTAAATTCCAAAGTGCATTGTCCTATATCAATGGAAAACCTCTATCGTGGGGTTTACTTTTGTACAATAAACCAATAGTTCAGGAAAGAAACACCAGCTAAGATGGATTACTAAGATGCACACGCATGGCTTAAGGCCTTGAGCAAAGTCTTTGAATCCTGTAGCAAAAGTTCCACAGTGCGGATACTAATGATATTTAGCACTTCTGTAAACTACTGTATATATTCTATAAAGTAACAAAAGCTATGTTAAAAGGTAAATTCCATACCATATCTAAAACTCTGATCCAATGAGCTTCTTATCTTGGTTCCTATGGTATCCAATGGACTAGAGTGCATGTGGTTTCATTACTCCCCACATCCACCTCTTCCTGGATTTGATCCAACTAAAACCTACCACAATAATAAAAAAAGTAGTAAACGAACAGTGTTGATAGGTTTTAATCAAATGCTGGTTCACGCAATTTGTAAAATCAATCCCAAGGAGAAACATCAGAATGCCAAATTCCCCACAATGTGTAATAAGTACCTGCAATTCATGTTAATCCATTTAAAGCTGAAGGCTGCAACATTCACAAAATAAGCTTTTGAAACAAGGAAAACCGTGTAATACATACTCTTCCAATTTCTAGAGCCCATGATGGCTGTAGTGCAAATGCAAGGGGTTAAAGGGGAATATTGAACACCAATCTATTTAAAATTAGGCTCACTGAAATAATTAGAATAAGTAGAGTAATAAGATATGGACAGAAGGTAAGTATTTTGCATCTGCAACCCACACCAATACCTTTCTTTCTCCGATTGGAAAGATGTTCACTATATTTGCTCCATTTGAACTGCAGTTCTAAAAGGTTCAGTTTACAGTGCCAAAAGGTATTAATTCTGTTACTGATTGCTGTGTGGTAAATGCATGCACCTAGCTAACCTTTACCAAGAGCTGCAATATTAAGTGCAAAAGTCATATCTTCACAGGAAATGCAATTAAATATTAAACACTACTTGTTGCAGGGTTAAGTGGAGTATGATGAACTTTGTCTTCATGAAAAAAGTAGATCAAGATGCTTCCTTTAAAACCAATTAAAATAACTAAATGCAAATAACCAGGTATCCTTAGGTGGATAAAACATCTTAAAAAGGATGTGTAGTACATGAAAAGAAATCACTTTAAAAATCAAGATAAGCTTACCAATTTGGATTTTAAATTGCTTAAGGCAAAAAAAAACTTAGATTACCAGCAATACACATGACATTGCCCATTTGTCCTTTCTCACAACTATTCATCTTTCAAAAGATGAATTACATCATTACAGTACCTCTTCATCCTTCCTGGTCCTTATTAGCTATTAGGTGTCAACACCCTCCTGCTTTATAACCTGTTCTCAGCCAAGTTTGCCCAGGGAAAGAGGATCACAGACATTCAGGGGCACAGTGGGAATAAATCCACAATGAAGTACCTTTATATTAATACAGCCTAAGGTGCAAAATTCTACTTTATGGTTTTAATTTCCATTAGATTTCTTGACCTGTGCAGATCAGAAGAATCTCATTGTTTTAAACAATTCAATTAAAATAACTCCACAAGTGCATAACCCAGAACTAAAATCCTAACAATGTCAACTGACCATCATCAAGTTACAAACTCACCTCTTGAGCTTTCAGTTTCCCCAACTTTAAACAAGTCATAGTAAAATCCATCCATCTTTATCTTGTAGTGCTCAAAACAGCCCATCTTAAGGAGCTTAAATTTCAAAATCCAGTTCAAGTGAAACAAGAGACTGTTGTACTTTAAAGTTCAAATTATTTTGTAACAGACAAGCCCTTAATTCCCAGATTGAAACTACACCCAACAGCCAAAGTAAATTAGTTATGAAATAAAACAAGCACTACACTTAAAACAAGATTACATACATTAGCATGTGACATTTAATGAAGACGCAGTATCCGCGACACTTGTTTTGAACAAAAACACAAATCACAAGCTGGTATCAATTCCCTTACCACCCATAATTAATTTAAAATAATGCTAAATCCAAGATGGATTTGACTGATCCAAGGTCTGATTCAGTTCTTCAGAGATCACACATTTCATCAGCTAGTATCCATTTTTGTTCAGTTCTTTCGGGACCTGTAGATTTCGAGATCTCATTTAGCCTTTTAAAGAAGCTCAATAAATAGATGAGAAAATAAAGATAACCTCTTTGTAGCCCTGCACTCCCTTATTTCCAGCACCACTTAGATGTGAACTTACCTAGCAGATAACCCATAATACAGTATATTAACTGCTAATGTACAGTAGTTTACCTTAACCACTTGTGTTAAAGATAGATAAATGACATTTCTTCTTACACCATATGAGCTGTAATGCATGCCTAACATTCCAATACTTGTAAAAACATGCAGATAAGCTTCACCTGTTTAATACTTATTCCTGTAACCATCTTGCTGTAGGAAAATAAATTCCCCAAAGCACAATTACCCCGAGAACATTATACTTGACTTCCAAAGTATAGTAACAGGGATTGTCTCATGGCTTTGGTCAGAGCCCAAACATAGCAAAGAAAAAGTATTACTGTACATGAACCTTTGCCTTCAGTAGCTTCAGTTTAAGAGGCACACTTAGAATTCCAAAAAAGGAACAAGTTTATGGATTAAAACAATTGTTTATGCCTGTAGATATTCCATTTGCCATAGCTGCACCAAATCCTCTTGTCATTTTTTATATTTTGGCATTTAATTCAGCCTACAAAATACATTCTTTAGAAGAGTACCAGAAAAACAGGATTTCAGAGTAAGTCTGAAAGTAATTTAATGTTCTTCACATACTGTAAAATTACTGTGGCGTGCATTTGTTTTCCCTCCAAACCGTGGGAGTGAAAAACACACAAATGGTAGGATCAGGGACTGCAGATGTTACCTGGTGTGTGATGCATCTGCCTTTACAAGATGTTTCACAATCTTGTCTCACAGAAGAGGCATCTGCTAGTCATCCAAGCATGTGCTTTAATATAAGTTCAGCTGGTTTAAAGGAACCAACTACATATGCAGAATGAGCAAAAGCCACACATTAGTTGGTACAACATATGGTACTCTTCACACAGAACTGACTTGCTTTGCTTCTTGATAACCACATAAGATAAAAAAACTGAACACAGTTTTGGACAAAGGAATCCTCTTTCTATGGAAATGTTTTCTTAAGTTTAGCTTAACAGGTTTCATTCATTTAACCAAGGCAACTCATTTCATAACTTGCATATTGTGATGCACTTTAAAATGATGTAAAGTACAGTGATGTACTTTATGTTGAGGTCATCAGGTGTTTGGGTCTTCCCAATATTGGGCACCATCTCCCAGTTGGGCCAACTGAGGTTGATCGGACCCTGGCCTGCATCCAAAGAGCACTACCCTGAAACCACATTTCTCCTGAGCCACAGCCATCTTAAAGCTCTTTTGACAGCTTGTGACCCCATGAGGGACCATATTCAGGAATTTCCCTGCAAAGCCTCTAAAGCCTGCATCAGTGGGCATGCACCTTGCTCTCCAGCTCTTTGAAAGGCAGCACTTCATAAAGTCTTCATACTCGGTCTTTCCTCAGCCTCCTCCATGGGACTGCAAGCTCCAGATGTACAATTCAACAGTAAATCATATTTCATGGGAAAACAGTACAAGTGGGGTAAAAAACATTATATTCAATGTCACTGTAGATCAGTTTACTTGTACAGAAAGGAATAAAATTATGGACTGAACTATTTAACAAATATAAAAAAATACCTGTCAAGCTATGCAAGTAAAGAATCACATCTCTTACAGAGGATATCAGGGACAGTTTGAAGAAACTATCCCCCATCTCAACATTAAGCTCTCCATGAGGACTTATTTCCAGAGACACTGCTGAATTTCTACTCTTATCAAGTTTTGATAAACACTTTTCACACTGCATAAGTTTAGACAATGCCTTCATGAATTGGCTCATTTTAGTTAGCACTAGTTACAACTAGAAGAACAGACTAACAAGTTTTGTTTCAAGCAAAACTTCTACACTTAAAGTTTCCTACTTAAAACTGAACTAGCTATAGGACAGACACGACATTTCTAGACAAAAGGAAAGATTACTAATGAAAATCTAAAGAAAAATATAAAAGCTGCAAATAGAATAAATTGCTCATGTTTTGTGTAAGTACAAAGTACTTGGGCCTTACGTTCTGCACAAAACAGTGCCCAAAAACAGTCAACTTCCCACATTCAAGAAGAATAATATAAACAAACCCCTTAACATAAAACACCAAAAGCTTCAATATTACTCACTCTGCCCCTTTTGCATCCACAACAAGCCAACATCAAAAACCCAGCTTGCCTCTCTAACCCTTTCCCAAACAAAAGACCTGAACGTGTGTTTGCCACACCCTTTTTATAACCATCAAACAGGCAGGTAATCCCTAACAGCTGAGGCTCTTTAGACAGGAAATGAGCAGGCCATTTCCCCCACAGCACCTTGGGACATGTAGTTTCAATGTCCCCTAGGCAGAGGAACCTACACATTTTTAAAGAGACAGGGTCACAGGGGGTAAAGACTTCTCAACACTCAAGGCCCAAAATACACTCCCTCTGTGAATTTCTTTTATTTTGTCAGAAGAAATACATTTAAAATATTCAAGTAATGTTTCAGCAAATACTGTACCATACATTAAGAACGAAAAGCTTACCTTTTCTTGTTAAATGGGCAAGATTGTATGTGTACTGAACTTCAAGGTAAATTTAAAGGGCCCTCAAATGAAATGTTCAATCAATAGGAAATGTCTTGTACATTGTGAGGAACGGCATACAAATACACACAAAACCTATTGAAAACTCCACAAACCTCTGCTTGAAGCTAAATCCATCTTTTGAAATCATCATGCAAATCACAACAAACAAATGTGCATTTAAAATTCCATTGTTTTTATATTAAACACTAAACCAGGTGTAATCATCAAAGGGGCTTTTAATTGCTTCAAAGTGATGGGGAACAACAGTTAAGACTAGCTTGCTTAGGTAACAGGTCATTTTTTCCTTTTAACTACAGATCCAAAATATGTACAGTAAGTGTATTTATTTGTTCATTCTGTTCATAAAAAGAACTGCCCAGGTCTTTCAAAAAAGCCAACTTTAATTAAATGCCTGTCGCAAGCACAATTAATTTTTTAATGACTTAGATACATTTTAATTTTGAAACGTACTTAAAAAACACAACATTTCACTTTTTTGGTGACCAGTTTTATCCTTCAAGCTCAGTTACAGTTAACAAAGCTCCTAGCAGGGGATGGGGCTAAACACAATCTCAGTTAAGCTTGATATAAATATTTCGTATTGATTGTTCAGGGTAAAACATACATTTTAATGCTTAAAGATCCAAAATAACTATGTAAAACAGAGCTATGTTTCACTATACTATTATGCTGTTATGTTGTCAACATAGTACATGTATTCATTTTAAACCTCTTTACATATTAAAGTGTTTTTTTCCATGTCACATGTTGTATTACTAAGCTGGAGGGAAGTATATTTGTCTTTTAATACATAAAACCAATATCTTCTTCAGCTTCAGCTGCAGTCAATGCAGGATTAAGGTCCCGCCACGACTTCTCAGGCATTCTTCTTCAAGTGGACCTTGCAAATCTTCTTCAATCTTTGTTCAATCCTCTTTGTCACCTTGGTATCACTTCGGATTATTCCATTAGCTTCAGGGGGTTTGGGTTCCTATTTCCTCATCTGTTATGACCAAGCTGTCATTTTCCTCAGCCAAGTGGATCAAACCAAATGAAGGTTTGGCTTGAGCCATCACTGCACCAATGGTACTACTCCTTACCACCTTAGAAGATAGTAAATGGCTACAACAGCTGGTGTGTGGGGAGCGTTCTGGCGCACTATGGCTGCTGTCGCATCATCCAGGTGGGGCTGCACACTGGTGGTGGTGGAGGGGAGTCCCCATTACCTGTAAAGCGCTTTGAGTGGAGTGTCCAGAAAAGCGCTATATAAGTGTAAGCAATTAATTATTATTATTATTGATCTCTGGTGCCCAGATGCACACCATCTCATATATGTCTTCTGTTACCTTCTCCCATAGTGTTGATGTCTGATGAGATACAGTACAGTATGTGACTTGTGACTTGTGTACTGTACTGTACTGTACTGGCCTACATGGGTTGTATATTCACAAAGTAAATCTCCTGTTTCTTTTTAGTACCTGCAGGGAGTTCTTTGGTACAGTATCAAAGAACCCTGGAATTGAGTTTGAAGATGGAGACACACATGATTTTTTACAGTATGTACACGAGGGTAGAGAGACAATATAGATGTTAATTTATATAAGGTTTCCTTTGTGAACTTTGCAGCAAGGTTTTCACCTATCACAGTCTAAACAAGCCAGATAAAACACAACGCAGAAAATAGAGACTTTCATCCTCTGAATTAATTCATACTTCTAAATCTAATGTTTGTACCCTTTTAAATGCCTGCTTTAAAATGACTATTTTCAGGATAAATGCATGATGCCTGCAGAGTCAAGGCTTTGCTGGAATTAGCTGCACAGAGATGACATGAGTTACACTGCGGAATAAACCCCATGGGTGAAATCCGGTGACAAATCAATTCCTTTTCAGTGCTGGGAAGAATGGAAATTTGATCATTTGTTTAAAAAAAAGATATTTTTATGTAAAAAAAGAAGAAAAAATATATAGGCAGGCTGAATGTTGCTGGCATTCTGATTAAACTGCTTCATGCTGCTTCTTAAACAGATTGTTCTGCAGGGGGGATGCTTCCTTGTCACCTGCTGAGCTGTGGGACAGGGTAGCTAATCTTGCATTAATACGGAACCACAAGAATAGAATCTGGAAACTGATATTATTACCTTTTTTTAATCATAGGTTTATTTTTATAAATTTTTCTTTACACTATAAAAAGGAGAATGTTGGGTGCTTGGGTTCAATTGGTAACGACACAATTTGAAACATCACAATGGCCGCCGCCGTGATATAAGATTAATACTGTATGAGCTACTCAATTTATATGGGGAAGAAAATAAGTGTTTAATGTCACATTAAGACTACATTTAAAGTCTCCTGTAAAATCCATTTGCTTCTTGAGTCACACAATTACAATGTTACGAGCCTGAGAGAAATTTATGAAATATTAAATTGCACTTTCACTCAGTGCCAGCGCTCCAGTGACTAAGGTGTAAGCCTCACAAGCAGGAAGCAGACCGTATTAATCAGAAATCGCTGAAGTTAAGGATGGACAGATTTTTTTACTTGTAAAGAACATTTACAGTACTGCATCTTACTAAATTTATCTTGGTTCATTTTAGGCAGCATCATGGCTTCATGGTTATGATATAATGCTGCTTCCCTTGGGACCTCAGATTCCATACTGGGGTATCTTCTATGTGGAGTCAGTATGTTCTCTTGTCTCTCAAACACAGAATGAATAGATTGGTGTGTGGGCTGCAATAACCAGAGAACAGTCCAACATCAAGCCCTGTGCATCTGGGATGGGCACCAGGTTGCTGTGAACCTTACTAGTATTAAGCAGCTTAGTGATAATGGATGGAAAGGCATAATTTTGTCAGCAGTAGATTAAACCTCAACACAAAAGGGCTTAAAACACAAGCATTATTTGAAATACCCTTCTTAACCACAGTGTATGAAAATATGCAACTGTTGGTATTTTTCCAATTATTCAATTCACTGAAATGACACAAAATTCAAATAAATGAGAATACATTTTAGATTGTGTTAGCATCAAAGCCTGTTTGCTTTAACTGTGCCAGTGACAGTATCGCTTAATAGAATCATCCTCATATTAATTAAATGAACTATGTGAATTTGATTTAACCTGCAATGGGACACTTCCTTCGTATGATAAGAGGAGTGTGCATTCAAACTTCTCCAGGCAACTCAGTGCTCACTGACATCAGCTGACACAATTCATAAATCCGAAAGTACCATTAGCGAAAGAAATGCAAAAGATGAAGACGGCGATCCCAGACAGTAGGTGTCATATTTTACAATTAGAACAATGGGGCAAAGTTGAAATGCAGATGGAGATATCTCTTTCCCCATATGGGTTATAAAATATATCAAATATAAAATTTAAATCTCAGCTCCCTCATGGACATTGTACTTTTTAAAAAAATGAACCTAATATCATATTTCACTGAAAAGTATTTCTGTAATACAAACACCACTGCCCAGAAATAAAACTATCAAATTATTTACTGTAAAACCAACTATATTTATTTGGGTGAGTTTTAAATGGAGCTTGGTTAGACCGCATGAATCGATATAATTCCAGAGATTATAAGGTAAACAAGAGCATAAGAACAGTTACAAATGAATGATGGTCATTTGCCCAACCTCATTTGTTTATTTATTTCATTACCTATAACACTTTTGTCTTTTCTATTCTAGTATTATTTAATTCAGCTCTACGTGTATGCTTTTCGTCAGCCTTAGGCATGCTGTCTGTTCTTTCCTAGGTAAACACCTACTGTAAGTGAAACGTTTATATTATATATTTATATTTATTTTATATTATATACAGTCCATTATATTTAGATATCTTTAATACAGCCGCTTCTACAGTATGTCATAATTTTTCCCATCTTTACCTTGAGTCATTTTCTTCATCTTTTCTCTGTTATAATACTGGAAATACACTTCATTTTTATTCGTTTAGCCTTCATTGCAATGTTCCTTTCTTTGCTTCTCTTGACCTTCCTAAAATACCCTTTAACCTATACTTGCAGCTCATTATGCTGAGTTTCCTTAATTGGATCATGGCCTTTTTTGAATGCTTTATTAAAAGTGCACTTTTCGCCTTCCTATTCTTCTGAATTGATTTAATGAGGCAATGTAGGCCACTGCTTCCCTGTCTTTGATTCACTTACTTGTGGCATAAACCTGTTCTGTGCCTCAAGTGGAATATCTGTAAGTTCTAAAGTACCTTTGTTTGCCAACCATTTCCTGCTTATTCCATATCTTCCCCCATCCACTCCACTTCCCTTAAGCTCTGTAACAGTCCATTTTCCAGAAATTGCAAAGCTCTGTTTTGACCTATGGTTTCAAAGTATACCATTCCCTCGTGGCTCTTTCACCTCTGTTTGCCTCTAAATTGTCCTGCTTTTTGTTAAATCCATACAAATACCCCTTCAAGGCAGTGTTCTGGCAGACAGAGTAAGACAGCAGTGAGAAGGAATGGTTACAATTCTGGACTCATAACTGTAGGTTCAGGTCCCGGGAGAGGCCCTGCTGTTGTATCCTTGAGCAAGGTGTTTCACCTGATTCTATAAATTGTGGCAAAAAGAAGTTGCATTGAAATAAAAGTGTCAGCCCAATGAA